CCGACGGCGTCCTTGCTCTTGCCGCCGCCGCCCGCGTCGCCGTCGTTGAGCGCGGCGCCGGCAGGGGCGGCCGCCGCGGCCGCCGTGGTAAAGCCCAGCCGGTCCAGCCGCGTCCGCCTGACAAACGGGCTGTGGTTGGGGTCTCCGTCAAACTCGTCGGAGCTACTCAGTTCCGCCGGACTCGTGCTCGACGGTCCGGCAGAGCCAAAATCCAGCTTGCCGCCAGCGCCTCCGTGGCCGACCATGCCCGAGAGGTGGCCGCGCAGCGAGCCCGCCGTCGAGCTGCTCGACGTCGACGAGCCGGAGCCCACATTGTGGCCGTAGAGGCGGCTGCTCGCCACCAGCTCGGGCGTCTCGGCGGGCGGGTCGCTCTCGTTTGTCGCCGCTCCGCCCAGGATCGTCGCCAGCTCGCTCTGGGTATCGTCCTTGAACGCGTCCGGTCCCGCAGCCGACGCGTCGATGAAGTCGAACAGATCGATGTCGAGCGCGGCGTCGGCATCGGCCATCGAGGGCAGGCCGTCGGCGGCGATGTTGGCTTCGGCCGCCGTGGCCGCCAGCGAGCCGTCCGTCGCGGGGGCCGTCTTGCCCGCTGCGTCGTTGGCGTTGACGCTCGACGACGACAGCGAGTCCTGCTGCCCAAGCAGCGAGAGCAGCGACTGCAGCGCCTTGGAATCGTTGCCGTGCGCCGCGGCCGCTGGTACGCTGCCGGCGCCCGGGCCGCTCGACGCCGTGAGGAGGTCCTGCCATGCCGCCTCGACAAAGCCGGCGGGGTCGCGTCCGGCCATCTCGACCTCGCGCTTCCGCCTCTCCTGCGCCTCGAGCTCCGCCTTTTGGGCGAGCGACGCCTCGGCGGGCTGCTGCGCCGCTTTCGCGTCAGGCGTCTGCGTCGCACCTCCGCTGGCCGCCTCGCCCTCGCGCTTCCTCCGCTCCGCCTCGGCCATTTCGCGCTTGACCTCGGCCATGATGTCGGCGCTCGTCTTGAACTTCTTGTCCGGTTCGGGCCCGGACGCGGCGGCCGCCGACGACTTGCCCTTCTTGCCGGCACCGCCCTTGGCCGCCTTGGTCGCCTTCTCCCCCTTCTTGCCGCCCTTGGACGTGGCTGCCGGCGTCGAGCCGGACGGCGTCGGGGCGTCCTTGGGTTGCGGCGGCGATCCGGCCGAGGGTTTGGGCGACTCGTTGACCGCGCCGTTGGGAGGGCTGGCGCCCGAGGCCTTTGCACCGCCGGGCCCGTTCTTGGCCCGCTTGTTGGGCGGCAGCTTGAGGTTCTCGACTCGTAGCCCCCGCTTGATGCCGTGCATGGCGGCGGCCGCGTCGAAGTTGCCCTCGCCGGCGCCGGCGC